GAGCCGGGCGCTGAGCTCTCCCGCCCCCCAGCCTGGCCATGAGCAGCACATGTGGGATCTAAAACCTGCCCTGGCTCCTGCTCGGGGGAGCATGATCTGTGCCCGCACCGGCATCCTCCAGGTAGGGGGCTGCTGCCTCTTCCTCCTTCTCCTCTGCTTGCGACGGGATGGGCTCTGCTTCCCTCCGCCCCGCGGGAGGGGGGAGGCGCTGGACGCCCTTGCGGAGACTGAATTTTACTCCTGACATGGGGGGGAAGGGGGACGTGTAGTTCCTCATTCCCCCCTCTGCAAAGCGTGCTGTGTGGGGTGAGATGCACACCCTGCCTGCTGGTAAATGCTCTCTGTAAAAAGGCAGCAGTAGCGTTCATAGAGCTGGCATGGGCTTGGGAAGGGTCGGCTAAGAAAGGACCCGGTTGTCTAAGCAGTGGGCCTTCTGGCAAATGGTCCATGCTGCCAACTATCCTAGCCTGCAGGGACTGGCAGGTCATACAACAAAGAATCCCCCCTCCCGGCAGTTTGTTTTGTTTGCCTTAGACAGGTGAAGATGATTGGTTGGAGGGGTAGGATGGCTAATGTGTGGCTTTGCCTCATCCATTGGACACAGGACTCAAGATACAGTGGCAGGGGTTCAGTGTGTGTTCCTGTTGGATTCAGAGCAGCTTTCAGTCCTATCACTGCCTTGAGGTTGCCTAATGTGGGAGGGGAAATGGAAATCCATAGGTCTATGTTGTGTTTTGATGGGGGATGGAGAGGAAGGTGGTGTAGGTCTTGTTCTCAGGACAGCGTATAGGATGTGTTTGATTATTTGCTTAACCATTGGCCTGCTATCTGAATTTCACTAGCAAGCAAATAATGTAGAATTTTTACTGATGTCATGTCACTCATAGTTGGTCTCATGTTGAACATGCATACATAGAGGTTTCAGTGAAGAATCCTATACTGGATTTTTTTACTAGTGTTATCTGGGCTTTATGTTCTTTCAGACCTTGACTCCATGATAATGCAGCATATTTTTAAGCATAAAGTGTTTGCTTTTTTTTTCCTCTGTGGTGATCTCAGCTAATGTTATAATTTCATATTTTGGTTACATTTTTATTACATCATAACATCTTTTATCAATTGTCATAGGTGGTTGAATTGTCACAACTTATTTTAAGTATGCTAAGATCAATGGCATAGCCATACATAATATAGCTTTTAAAACTATCAGAGACTGCGTGTATCAGTTAGCATAGCATGTATATGTACACTTAATTTGGTGTCAATGTGCACTACAGCCAATGTAATGACTTGGGTTTTTTTTATAGCAGTTGAAGAAAAATTATTTGATTTGTATCTAGTTTTTTGCATCTTTCAATTTAGAGCTGCAGTAGTTCCTTTTTATGCTGCATTCAACTGAAGTGAGTAGTGGCTATAAAACAATCACTTAGACTAAAGGAGAATCCTTCTGCGATCCTCTTGTCCATGCATTTAATAACCTGCCATCTGATTCAATGGGGGCATATATTCATATAAGAAGAGTGCAGCAAAAGGGGGATGTGGAATTGCTTTACCAAAAATGTGTCACAGCTGGTGGTCAGCTGTGCCTTTCTGATCAGTGATCATACTAGGATTGTAGCTATTACAGTAATTCATTTTAGATTGGGGATTCATTTTGAAAATTTATATTTTCCCTAAGAAGGGATTATTATTCCTCTGTCTAATGTTTGTTTTGTAAATGGAATACAGTGTGTATTCTGGCTGCAGTTTTTATTTGGCTTGTTCCTGTCTCTGAAACCACCCCTTACTGGGATACATAAGTGATATGTTTTATTTCCATTTGCCAGCCAGAAAAAAAAAACTTAAAAAGCAGTGTACATTTAGTCAATGTATAGCATTAATCCTGTGATTGAATTCCCAAAGTGGCATGGGAAGAAACAGTATGTCTTTCCAGAATAACTGTTAGTTGTGTGTATGTTTTTTCAGTGCTCTAATTTTAAACCAAATCTTCAGTTCAATGTTTTCAGTTTTTTGCATAGTCAAGGCTTGAGAATGAGTAAATCAATCAGGATGTTCCATGCACAGTTATATCTTGTATAACATATTATATAGTGTGTTGCAAGCATGCTCTTAGATTTGGACTGCTAAACAGGAAGAAAATTCAAGTACTGTCATTTCAGCTTTTTTTTTTAATTTTTGTGTGTGTCATAAGCAGGCTTATTGGAAAACAGAGTGGCTCAGAGTGAGAACTGTTTGGATCAAAATACAGGACTTCTATCACTATTCTGTTTGGATCAGTGACTCTAACAGAAAATGCCAACATATGAAGGTGGCAATGATTTTTTTAATAGGAAATCATATAATTACAGCCACAGCAACCCAATTAACTAACCAATACAATCAAATCCAATCACATGTTCCATATTTAATTTCCTGCAATAAATAAATGGCTAGTCATTTTACAGTCATTGTTTATGTGGAGTGTATATGCAGTCTGATTCACATTCCTTGCAAACCCAGGATGCTTTAGGGGAGCTTTGGAAATACCATTAATGACTTTGAGCATTCTCATCCCAGCTAGAAGCCAAAAGCTGCTCATTTTGCTCTTGTGAGTAATCCTAATAAAGACAGCAACAACTTGCATAAGTAATGCAAGCAGGATTTGACTCATCCATTACTTTTTTCCCTTTGCATTGGGAAAGATACATGTGTCAGTGAAAGGAGTGGAAAAAGTTCCAAAACGAAGGGAACTGATTATACCAAACTGACAGTTTTTGGTAATGGATCACTTGTAAACAGACTGTCATTTATTCTCTAAAATTGATTGAAATCTTTGAAAATGTGAACACATGAGTTAAAGTGTTTCCTTTAATTCAAGCAGAAGTCGCTCTAATTCAAGCAGAAGCTCTTAAAAATAAAAAATAAATCTAACACTCAAGGACTCTTGTACCCTGAATCCACTAAAAATTCCAGTCAACATATTAGATTTTACCAGTGCTGCTAAATTCTCATATATTGACATGACCAGACTAGATGACCTCTTAAGGTCTGTTCTGGTCCTATGATTCTATGACTTAGCTGAACAGTTTCTCCTGCAAGACAGGCACTTGCAATTCTTCAAACTTATACATGAGGGTATTCATTTATTACCCTTTTGTTTTTCAACATCCATGGAGTCGACAGCCACTGCAGGATTGGGGACAAGGTGTGGGTGGGCCCAACTCCACATCTCCAGAAGGAGAGTAGCCAAGGATAGTCATCCCTTAGCAACACCTACCCTCAAAGCTACACAGAGTGCCCAACATGGCACTCAGGCACTCCAATGGCAATTCAAAGGGGATTGGGATTCTGCCTACCGCCACTGCGACAATAGCAGTGTTGTTGTCTAGGCGCTCTGGGACAATTTAAAACACTGGGCCCTGGGCAATTACCCAGGCCTGTTCAACATCTATAATAAGGCCATTTCAAGAAAGATCTCACCATCAATTAATGTCTTAGTTCCACTATGGCCCTCTTACAGTATCTTTAAAACAACAATGGATCAAAGAGCTTGTAACATTTCAATTAGTAATTGTTTGTTTTTAAAGAAGTTCCCTTCAGGACTACAGCAGGTGGAAATGAAGACCTCGGAATTAAACTGACAGGCTTAAAATCATGTAAAAGGAGTTTTTTCTCTTCACTCTTGCAAGAGGAGGAGTGCAAACAGCAGTGGATTTGGGGAGGATGGAGAACAGAAAGAAGGAATGCAGGCTTTATAGGGTTCTGTCCCTCCTGAAGAAAGATGCTACACTTTGCAGGAAGTAGACTGCAGCAGGGGAAGAGAGGAGCTGGTAGAGGGAGGGTTAGGGTTTTCCTTGGCAATGGCTTGCCATGCCATCCTTAACTTTATGTGGATCCTTGGATTAAATTAATGCTGATCCTGTTGTAATTAACTAAGGGTATGTCTACACTTGCAGCCTATTTCGGAATAGGACTGCAAATGTTGGCATTCGGAATTGCAAATCAAGCCCGGGATTTAAATATCCCACACTTGATTTGCATCTTCCCGGCCGGGTGCCATTTTTTGAAATTTACAGCCTGGAAGAACTGCCTATGTCTACACGCGGCAGTCAAACGGGCATTCAAAATAAAGCCCTATTTCAAACTACCTGTTAAATCTCATTGCAGGAGGAATAACAGGTAGCTCAAAATAGGGCTTTATTTTGAATGC